CAAAGGGATCTCACTAAACAGGGCAACAAAGTGGCAGATTAAATGCAACACTGGTAAATGTGAAGCAATGAACACAGGAAAAAAAGAATCCCAACTATACATATAAATTGAAGGGGTCCAAATTAACTGGTCCCATTCAAGGAAAAAGTTCTTGGAGTCATTATGGATAGTTCTCTGAAAATATCCACTCAATGTGCAGCAGCATTGAAAAAGCTACCAATGTAAAGAATGATTATGAAAGGGATAAATAATAAGATAGGGAAAAAATCATAATGCTGCTAAATAAATCCATAGTACATCCACACCTTGAATACTGCATGCATCCCTGTGATCAGCCTATCTCAAAAAATATATTAGAATTGGAAAAGGTGCAGAGAAGGGCAACAAAAATGGGGAGATGGAATAACTCCCATACAAGGCAAAAATTAAAAAACAGGGCCTGTTCAACTTAGAAAAAGAGATGATATGAGGAGGGGGATAGGGCAGAAATTTATAAAATCATGAACAATATTGCTGAAGGGTGCACATTTCAGCTCTTCCTTGGGGGTAAAACTCTTGTGACTTGCTGCTTCTCCTATTTTCCTATCTCCTGGGGAAGAACAGCCAATTAGTACCTGCTCCCGTCAGTAGCAAAGCTGTTCTCACGGTGGGAAAAGATACAGAAGAGAGCACAGCAGACAGATTTCAGCAGCATTTCCCTTCCTGTTGTGATGAGCTGACTCCTCCCCCTCTGCAACACTAGGCCTGAGCAGAGGTTTGAAAGTAAGAGGGTTCAGTGCTTCAGCAAGAGCTGCCTGAGCAAAAGTCAACAGGGAGCTATTTAAAGAACTGGCAGGGACATGGGTTGCAATAGGACAGTACCTCTAAGAAATTTTAAGTTACTTTCAACCATGGAGAGAAGACCCTGACTCAGGCCCCTCACATCAGGGGATGGAACTAAAGAGCATTAGGAGCTGTGGGGGGAGCAGAGGTGAGCTGAGGGGGAAGAGGGTGTAGAATTGATATGGAAGCTAGAGAAGCAGATGTGATGTTGCTTTTACTGTTGCAGATAGAGCTGCCGAAAACCACCATGGGACCCTGAGCAAGGTGGGGGGCAGTTCTGTGTGCTGCCCAGGCTGTGCCACACCCCCTTCCCAGCAAGGGTTACCAGATGGTTTTACAAAAATACCAGACACACTTGATCTCAGATTGTGGGGGGACCGGCCGGGAGGGGAGCGGGGGTAGCGGGGCTGGCTGGGGGATACAGGAGGAGGGGGGAGACCGGCTGGGAGGAAGCAGGGTTGGCTGGGAGGGACCTGGGGGAAAAGAGGCTGGCTGGGGGGGGGACCGGCCGCCCGGGCGCCGGGCTAGCCCAGGGGGGGTCGAGGGGGGG